GAACAATGTTGTACAAATGACAGATTCCAATTATAGAAGTAAAATTTTGTTTATTTTTAATAGTAAACATAGTATATATGACTAGATTGGGTATTTTTATAATTAAATATTATTTCTGCATGATTTTCTATTGCCAAAATTTTTAAAATACGGTGTATTGCTAAACATATGTGGTTTTAATCTAAAAAAGAAAAATATATATAAAAGAAAGTCGTGTTAGTAACTCCACTTATAACTCAAGAACGGCTGAACCGATTTAGCTGAAAATTGGCAGGGAGGTAGTTTAGAGCCAGGAAATTCCAATAGGATACTTTTTATCCCGTTCAACAGCATTCCCGTGGGACTTGACATGAAACGTCAGTCACTATAAAACACAATTGACAGCTATGCAATTGACGTATAATGACAGATATGTAATTTAGTATTTGCGGGATAAATTTAGAAAATCATTGTTTTTCACATGGGCAGTTATACTTTGCGTGTTCAGGAGTTCGGAAACCATCCGCTTTATTTGTGTTAATGTTAGATCAAAAAACATAAAATGTGGTTTACAAAGGAGCGCTTCAATGAAACGGATAATTTGCGGACTTTGCGGAGAAGTTCAACTAAATAACACTTCATTTTTGTAATCGAAATGAATTCATTACTGTTGTGAAATTAAATACAAATTTTCCTTTTCAAATATAAAACAAAAAAAAATTCTTCATCTTTTAATCACCAAACGAAATGTTACATAAAAATAAGCCTTCTGGAGGCAAAACGGAGTTCGCCAGGTTTACTAGTAAGTTATAAAAGACAAAAGTTACTTCATCTGTGACGTTTTGTAGGCTGAAACTTTTTAAGAAATAATTGAGCAATTTTAATTAAAAAAAAAACTTATTATTTTACACATGTAAACTTAGTAAAAAACGAAGTATTTCTTATTAGTTTTCATATACACAAACTTTTTTCAAGATTTATAACGTGTTTATGTATAACTAGCTTTTGCCGCGACTCCGTCCGCGTGGAATAGTGACTTCCGCCAGATTTTTGGTTCTTCCCACATAGTTCCCGTTCTTGCGGGGTTTTCGGAATGGTCGAGTTCCCGTAGAATTTTCAGGATAAAACCTATGTTTTTTTTATTCACAATGAAGTACTCTTAACCAACAATATATTTATTTGTTTATTTGAATAAAGATTAATATCATTATGTTAATACAACTTCAACAAATTATTTCGACCAAATTAGGTACCATAAAAACGGTTTTTATGAGTTAATCTTAAAAGATAGACATATACATATAGATAGTTTTTTAGATCACTAAAAGAGCTATTATTCTTTAATACATATTTTTTGTGTATCTTGAACCGTTTTCACGGAGCACGCAACGGAAGGCTTCAAAGATGAAATAATTTCTCCCGTTTTTTACACATTTACCACTATATCTTTGCTCCTATTGGTCGTAGGGTGATATGATATAGCCCACAGCCTTCCTCGATAACTGGACTATCCAACACAAAAAGAATTATTCAATTCGAACCAGTAGTTTCGGAGATTAGCGCTTTCAAACAAACAAACAAACAAACAAACTCTTCAGCTTTATAATATTAGTATAGATAATATTTTATGTTTATCATTAAATTATTCTTCGAAATATTTTTAACTGACATCCGTTTAGATACTGATATAAACAACAGATCATATTAGTTTCCTCAAACATTAAATAAAAAAGAGTAGACATACAAAAAGTATTAAACAGTCTTTGTAATAAAGATGCTCTTTTTCCTTTCGTATTATTGTCATAAGAAAACGAAGTGCTCCTTGTTATAAATATTTAAAAATCCGCTCGCCCGAGGTTACGCGACATTAAACATGTATAATAGGCATGTGAATACATAAAGTAGGTACATATGTCCATGTATCATGATACCGTATGTTATTACGAGATATACAACCAATTATTTATGACAATATGTTGAAATTTGTAGTAAGAGAATAATAATCAACACAATATACTATCATAATCACCTATTTTCACTCCCTTTATATCCATAGTGTAAATTTGCATATTACACTCTCTACATCATTTGGATAAATTGTGATGTTACAGACAGAATTAAATTCTAAAGTTTATGACAAAATATAATAAAGAGATAGGAAACTTCCACAGAAACAGAAAAAATCAGGATTTGAAAGACTTGATTTCTATCTAGTGATATATGTATGTGAAAATCCAGATAGCCAGCCACATACAAATAATTTTATGAAATCTGTCAGTAACACTGGTAAATACATGAGCTATAAAATAAATAAATTGGTCAAAAAAAATTAATACTGGTAAATACATGTATTGTTTTTTCTAGATCTAAGTTATGAAAAAGAATTTCAAATAACAATCTACAAATCAATAGATAAAACAAAAGTTATTGATGGAATAAAAAATTGGGTGTAAAAATTATAGCTGGCCTTATTTTAAGCCACTCGTACACTTTTTTAACATACTTTTTTTTACGAATAAGGATATTTGGCCAAATGAACTAAAAGCTGACGAAATATTTCGTAAACATTCGTATTTAAAAAATCGTAATGTATAATTAAAAGTTTGTAAGTAAAAATTAAACAATGTAAGTTTAGTTGCTGTATGGGTACTGGGTAGTGTAAGCAGTGCTTATTTGCATCTATTTTGTGTACGCCACTGCTGTTGATATCCTCCAACATTTAGTAAATACTTGAGTACTTGTTACTTTACTGATAAAATATTTTTAAATATATAATAGAATTATTTTTAAATAATTAGTTTTAAACTTATTTGACGAGCATTAATTATGAATTTTAAAATTTACTTAAAATGTCATATTACTGAAAGTATTAAATTATATATAAAAACCTCATTTTAATGCCAGGTAGGTACATATATATATATTTATTGAGCTAGAATAGTTATGATTTCATTACTATCAATTTAAACAGATTTATTTATACTACAAAGCAATATAAAATCATAGTATTGCATAATATTACACATAAACCTTTAGCTTTAACTTTATTGGAACGTTCAATTATAGAATAGAATAGAATATACTTTATTGTACACCACAAACAGTTAATTTTACACTGAAAAAAATTATAAATTGGAATGTACAATTATGTGAAAGCTATCAGCCTACAGTCCACAGAGAATCGTTTAACGGAAATACATTAGTGGATGTGACTTTATCTCGTACAAACTTCTTAAGTAATGACGTACTAGTTACTTTACAAGCTTTATTAGTTCGAGTATAAAGTTCTCTCGAACGTGAGATAAATTGAATTTCATCATCTGTTAAAATCTGTAAATCCGTTTATTTTGTTACATTAACAAGATACAAGTTACATAAGATAGAACTTTTGATGACATTTATTATATATAACAAGTAATCTAAAGCAGAACTGAATTGTATGAGGCTATTAAAGATATAAGCAGTTCGGATGGTTGGTAACATTGTCATCACAGTGAAACTCTGTGATATAGTTAACGGTTAATAATTTAAAACAAATAATTTATAGTAGCAACAGTTCTGAAGCATTATGATCAAATATTGTTAAAAAGCCTAGAGAAGTTATCATTATTATTTTTATATAATCGTATATCAAAATTAATATGGAGTTGGAGTAGAAATGACAAACTAATTAATTATTTAATAAATCTCACAATTTAATCTCAAACTCCCTTCTTCCTAAATTGAGTTGCATTTGTAATGTGACCGAGATATCCTTTATGCATTTTGTAACATAATTACACCAACAAATAATATTAAAATTGATTCATTTTAATATTAAATACTAAGAAGTACCAATAGCTTATTAGTTGTATTGCAAAAACTGACACATCAGAAATGGAAAATACATACTATGTAGCTGCCAGCTTGGTTTGAAAGATATTGTAACTTCGCTTTATCAGTACTATCTGTGCACTTTGAGATTAAATGAAAAGAAAAAGCAAAAAAGGATTACATATACGTATTATTCTAAAACCAACAATTAATTATAAAAAAATATATAATTAAATTGTTACCCGATTGACCTCAATTTAAAAAAATTGTTATAATGCAATACATAGTTTTGTTACCTGTGTAATAAATTTTATGAATTCTGGCAAAACACAAAGAAGTCCTCTATTGAGCACGTTAGATAGAGTGCATTTCTGTTTGAGTCAACTGAAGTCGTGACTAGAAAGAAAACGAACTCAAATTGTTCGTGAAAATTCGTGTATATTCTTGTCATTTCGTTTAAAGAAAAGAAAACAATAAATAAGGTCTATCTTTTGTGTATATTTTATCTCGTAATCCTTGTGTTGCTATACGTAGACGTAATGAAGTATAAACATTAAAGCTTTTTAAGGAAGAAATTAAATTGACTTAAAAAAGCTATAGAAATATTAATTAACGTAATGTTATAATAAGCGTTCCCTGATGTCAAGCCCTCAAAGTAGCTTATGAAACATGACAGGTGTATTACACTCGTTTTGCCGACTCTTCTAACACCTTTTCACTCTTCTCTTGAAGAATCCCATATTGTAGTCCCTTACAAAACGTTAGCAGGGAGTTTCATCATAGAGCGAGTGTTTGAGTATGTTTTTGTCAGATCGAATAATTGTTATTACATAATTAACGATTCTTTCAAATAGCGCCTACTAATTATATAACTAGTAAATATAAATTAAACATGGCAGAAATTGTATGTTCGAAATTCAACTATAGTAATATTTGTGATTTTGGACACTAAAACGTAAAATAAGTAGTTATTTAGCAATTATAATTAATTATTGTAGAAAGTAGGACGCATCGCTCTTAACTCGTTAAATTCGAGCCACCTGCTTAGAGATGTACCTCCAACTCACAATAGACGACAGCCAAATGGAGATTCTTTCACGTTATATGATGTTTCTGTGGTAATTAGGTGTGCTGACAACCTGGTGACCAGTATATATACTATTATACTATACTATACCAGTATATAATATATAATGTACCTTTGGTAGATGTACAAAACTAGTGTGGACTCAGCGATCAGTAAAATATGCTGTAACGGCACTCTTCTGGGCAAACGCCTGATATTCGAATTGTTGAGAAACCAGCTACCAGATAATATCCACATTAGAAGGTTAGCCGCCATCAAACGAAAAGTCTCTGGAGTGATAGATTTTATGAAGTAAGAAACCGTAAGGGTTAAGATTGCTTCAACAGGTGATAACAAAAATACAAATCAGTTGTTTGATCCACTTAAGGGGAACCATAGCGCTAAAGGGAAAGCTAATTTAAAGGGAATGATAAATTTGTATGTAAGTCTTTGTGTAAAACTCAACACTAGATATATACGTAAGCAGTACACCTGAATCATTTCATGATATAAATCTGCTGTGCATGATATTAGGATCTGTTTAAGAGATGTTCGTTAAGAGTTAAATTATTATATTTGTTAATAGTTACAATAAAAGTGTATGTAATATGCATATAATATAGATTTTTTGTTTCGTGCAACCTTCTTATAAATAAACTATAAAATAAGTAAGAAAAGTAAGTAAGTCGAAGTATTGTCTAAATAAATAAGCACAAATATTTTCAATATTTCCGTAAGAATAAAATTAACAGAGAAATGTTAAAAATTAATATCATTATCATTGCACTAGCTTTTGCCGCGACTCCGTCCGCGTGGAATAGTGACTTCCGGCAGTTTTTTGGTTCTTCTCACATAGTTCCCGTTCTTGCGGGGTTTTCGGAATGGTCGAGTTCCAGTAGAATTTTCAGGATAAATACTATATATATTTTTTATTCACAATGAAGTACTCTTAACCAACAACATATTTATTTGTATAAATATTAATATCATTATGTTGATACAACTTAAACAAATTATTTCGACCAAATTAGGTACCATAAAAACGGTTTTTGTGAGTTAATCTTAAAAGATAGACATATACTGTCGGGGACTGTTTTTTAGATCATTAAAAGAGCTATTATTCTTTAATACATATTTTTTGTATATCTTGAACCGTTTTCACGACGCAAGCAACGGAAGGATTCAAAGATGAAATAATTTCTCCCGTTTTTTACACATTTACCACTATATCTTTGCTCCTTTTGGTCATAGCGTGATGTTATATAGCCCACAGTCTTCCTCGATAATCGGACTATCCAACACAAAAACAATTATTCAATTCGAACCAGTAGTTTCGGAGATTAGCGCTTTCAAACAAACAAACAAACAAACTCTTCAGCTTTATAATATTAGTATAGATATAATATTAGTATAGATTTGGAATAATTTACAAAGAGCTTGTTTAAAAATTCAGTTACCTGTAAACGTCGGCAGGTTATTTCTATATTTGGCAAAAATCGAAGTCTTTTCAAAAGGAATTATGAATTTATATTGTTGAAAGGGCTGCTGGCTTTGTTTTGGAATACCCTTTTGTTTGTGATTTTTTAAATTCCGATACAAGACGCCGTTTAAATACTTTTCTTTTGAAGTATTTATATAATATGCACTTTTCCCAGGTGGATTGAACTAAAAATTAATAAAATAGAAGTAAGGACTAACATTTAACAGCTTTTTTCTACTTGGTGGGATTTTCGATACTCCACTTAGTTTAAACTTAAATATTTGATTGGTTTTAACTGCACTGCCTTAAAAATACGGAACCGACTTTTTTATAATTTAAAGAAACGTTGAAACTAATTATTATTAAGTATAAGGTTTCACAACGTCTCTTTTTAAATATTAGCTATGAAAGAATATTCTATAAAACTGATCTGGATCATCAGACCGTATCCATGGATGTTGATTCATTATTATCATTGAAATATCTGTAGACTGAATAATATAACATTTGTCTGGGTCTGGTCGGTATAGTAAAGGAATACAACATACAGACTTTTTATATCCTATCAACCCATTATTACTCAGTTTTGTCTTGAATTTTAATGCTTCATATATTTGTATTTGTCAGCATTCAACGGCAATTCTATATACTGAGTATGAGAATATTATATGGGCTACTTCCAGATCTCAGCACTTCAACATTTAATATTAATTAGTTTTCTATAAACTTAATACAAATTACAATGAATCTGCTCTCTGTTGATATCACATTGTATTTCAATTTGAATTAACTTCAGTATATAAGTTACACGTATCATCAAATAAACAAACATTATTCCTTTGTATTATCGGCTTTAAGTCCCAAGCGTTTGTAACTAAAAATAAAATTTTTAGTATTAACAAATGGCTTATTTAAATATTTGTATTGGTGGAATAATAATTTTAGAAACTTCGAATGGCATTAATAACGTAGGCTTTTTGTTTTGATAGATCAGTGTTTATTAAAACATATTATATCAGTTAAAAAAGTGTTTTAAGTTGTTTATATATTGTTTTATCTTGTCAAGTAGGGGTTTAAATACTTCTCATTTGAGGGTAATATTTTGTTAAAAATTTTGTATAAAAGCTTGTACAAAATTTGATTTATACAAATTATCGGTAGTTTTACCAAGAATAGTGCTGCATGAATTGTGACTGAATTAATCTGCCCCTTTTATTGCTAGTACCCTCAAGTTAATAACTACTATATAAGAAAATATCTTTTTGGGAATAAAATTATAAAATTATATAAGTATAAGTATGTCTCGAGAGTCGAAACATTTGTTGAACGCACCCTCTTTGGTTCTGGTACTTCAACTTGGTCCCTTCAAAGCCATATTTTAAGGGTACGTCCCACAGGACCATGCAACACCCCAGTGAGGCTTTCAAATGCTTACATTCAAACTGAAAAGATGTACAACAAACTCTTGTTAATATTAGTTATGAATTCTTAATATTCATTCTTAATAATCTACTTCGTAGACACTTGGTTGGGCAGTTTTGTTTTCTCCGTAATAATTGAAATAGATATAACTGTATAAAACATTAAAATTATTAAAATCAATTTAAAAATATTTGTATTCTCGTTTATCAGTTTATAACTCCAAAACCATTAACTTTATTACATTATATAGCCATCGATCATTTTGACGATGCACACAGATTAGATTGCATTTACTGAAGATATGTTATACATATGTTGATTCCTTTTAGGAGGCCGTGTATGTTATCTTAACTGAATTTATTACCTCGGGTATTCGAGGTATTATATAGGGTGCGCCAGAGAAACTTACTTATTTAAAAAAATTACCGCGCGGTGAGTTGGGTGGGTAGAGGGGCAAGAGGGGGCGCATCTGGAGGGGGAAGTTCCCAAGTTTGTTTCTCCCTCCAGTCAGCTGCCATCATGCTCTGGTTTAGAGAGCAGCGGGCCTTCGCAGTTGAGAGCTTCTTTTTTAACGGTCGCTCACTTGTTACTACGCAACGTGCCTTCCGCGCTCGCTTTGAAATTCCTCCTCACAGACTCGTTCCTGGCCGTAATTCGATTCTGTCGTGGTTTAACTCATTTCGGGAGTGAGTTTCGGGAAGTGTCGCTAAACCCAGAAATGGACTTCAACGGACCATCAGAACTCCGGAAAATATCGAAAGAGTGAGGCAGTCAGTTGTGCGTTCTGCTCGGCGTTCGGCTCGCAAACACGCAGCTGCTATGGGAATTTCTGATACCACTGTTCGACGAATTCTCCATGAAGACCTTCAATTTCATCCCTATAAATTGGCTGTTGTGCAAGAATTAACTGAACGCGATTTTGTTGCCCGTCAAAATGCATGTGAAATGCTGATTGACCACCTGCCTGAAGACGCGGTCGTTTTTTTCAGTGACGAGGCTCACTTTCATATTTCCCTGGTTTATGTCGATCGACCACGGACCATAGCACACCTCAAGAACAACAATCGCGACGCCATTACCAACATACCGATTGATATGCTGCGAAGAGTGGATACGAATTTCAAATATCGACTTCATCAGTGTATGCGCAATGGGGGTCACCATTTATCCGATATCATTTTTAAGACTGCATGAAAAAAAAAATTGGGATATTGTATTCTCAAATAAAAAAAAATATTAAAACAATAACTGAAGTACTTTTTTTTTATTGACCTTTCAAATAAGTAAGTTTCTCTGGCGCACCCTGTATAACGATGCGTTATTTGACGTTAAAGATGTTTTTATGTTACTTATATATATATAAATATATTCAATATATATTAATTCGCTATTATGACTGAAAACAAGCTGGAAACTTCATTACTGTGAGAGTAATTAAAGTAATGATTTTTTAAGTATAATACTTTATGAGCCATTTAAAAAAAATAGGATTTGCGTACTCCTTATTTAATTTTTTTAATATTAAATAACTTAATATAAGTCACAATCAGGTTTTTCTGTAATTATTACTGAGTGCGAATCCTAAATAACCAACATGTATGTGTTTCTATGTAGATAGGGTTTTATTAATGTTAAATCTGACTAAAAAACATAGAATGATATTAAGCCTAATTATATAATACTTAAATTTACGATACAAAGTACGATACGAATTCATCAAGACTAATTAGTGTCAAGTTTTAATATTTAATTACAATTTGTATTGAATACCCTTTTAAAAGTCGATATTCTTCTCTTCTAAATTAAAAAATAAACAGTTATATCTAAATGCACAGAGCGGTGTAGACAAAGCTAGTTTAGACTGAAGACAAAAGCAAAGGCCAGGTTGTAAAATATCCAATACTAAGTGGTGATTTCCGTATCTTGTATGTTTTTTAACCGTATAATCACTTGGTAAAACTACATATTTTGATTGAACACATTGTTCATTCATGTTTTACCGATAAATTATTATTACTATTAGTAATAGTTATGTACCCTGTGTAGAAAGATTTTTTTGTTTAAGATAGTAAATAAGTAATTTGTTCTAAGTTATTCACTGTAAACAATGTTTATCTTATAATTAACCTATCCTTACAAAACCCTATTAAAAATATTAAGAATCGTATCACGTCCAAGGTAAATTTGCTTAACACATTACGTGTATTTATTAATGTGGGGTTTTTATGTATTTCTGAACACACAATCAACACAATAAAAGTTATGGGAGTAACATTAAAATTGTGAGACAAAAAAATATCATATATTTTAACTTGAACAAAATATTTTATTAAGAATCAGTAACTTTTAGTAAGTATGTTTTATGATATTGCTCTATCTTGGATAGCCATGGGCCTCTCTTGGGGTTCTTTTGGGTCCTTTACCCAATTTTACGTAGATTCCTTTATTTTTTAAGTTATATAAATTAAATAAAAATAAGTTATTTTAATACATTCTCAGAACTAATTTAATTTAAAAAATGTAAATAGATTTTACATTGCTTTTATCATTAAAGCAACGTTACGTTAAATTAAATTCATGCAAGAAAAGATGCAATAATTCATAGACAGGACCATTTTCAGTTTGTTTGTCAACTAGGCTATCATGCAGTGATAATGAAATAAGTGAGTAAAAAATTATTTATAATATTCAACCTTAAATCAGGTCAAGAGTGCCAATTTTTCTTTTTAAATACGAAAAACGTAATCCAAAAAATTAATATTACCTAATTTGCTATATAGATGAATCATCGTAACGGTGCCGCCGCCGGTATTCATTCATATAATTATATTTTTAATATCAAAATTATATTTTTACTTGTTTATTCGTTAACGTATTGTATAATTGTAAAAGTGTTCTCTTTCAAAAACATATGTTACTTCTTTTTATTTGCCGCTTAAGTAGTTGTTTTGATTTTACCACTCTTTCTTAAAATCTCGCTCAAGAAATTACTAAGTCATCCCTAATAGGCTGCACGTTATAATTCATCGTTTTAATTACGCGACATAGATTTAGACACTATACCCATCTATCAAGATATATATTGCTCTCAGACAGGAATTCTTTCAAGTCTTTTATAATTTTTAAGGCTTTTTCTTTTCGAATAGTAATTGGATGACCAGAACTTTTTCCATCATAAAAGGTTTTATTTAATATAAATTTTATATTGTACACAAATATTTGACTTACATATAAGACGCGCACGAAGATATTATAAATTATATTTCTGTTCATTGTGTATTTATCTTTATGGAGTCCATTACTTTATGTAATGTAATCACCGACATTCAATATTTATACATATCCCGATACATTTTAATATCACAAAATATTTCATCAATACAGGGCTTTATGATAAGAAAACATAATGAACAATGTTATACAAATGACAGATTCCAATTATAGAAGTAAAATTTTGTTTATTTTTAATAGTAAACATAGTATTACTAGATTGGGTATTTTTATAATTAAATATTATTTCTGCATGATTTTCTATTGGGAAAATTTTTAAAATATGGTGTATTGCTAAACATATGTGGTTTTAATCTATATATATATATATATATATAAAAGAAAGTCGTGTTAGTTACTCCACTTATAACTCAAGAACGGCTGAACCGATTTAGCTGAAAATCGGCAGGGAGGTAGTTTACAACCAGGAAATTCCAATCGGATACTTTTTATCCCGTTCGACAGCATTCCCGTGGGACTTGACATGAAACGTCAGTCACTATAAAACGTGGAATAACGAAACACAATTGACAGCTATGCAATTGACGTATAATGACAGATATGTAATGAAGTATGGATGACAATTTGATAATTGTAAGAAATCTACTATATAAAAATAAGTCCGTTTTTCCATCCTGACGCTATAACTTCGGAACGAAAGAATCAATTTCCACGGTTTTGCATTCGTTGGAAAGGTCTCGGGCTCTTGCTCGGGAAAATCTTTTGTCACATACAGCGCCATCATACATAACATGTACTACAAATCAATATTATGTATTTTTAAGTAGATGGTGCCGTCGCATGATACATTGTTTGACAGCTACTCATTGTTCTCTTCTCAGTTAATTTCATGTGACAAACCGGTATTGTGTTTGTAGTTTGAACTCTTAAAACCATTTAGTATTTGGGGGATAAATTTAGAAAATCATTGTTTTTCACATGGGCAGTTATATTTTGCGTGTTCACGAGTTTGGAAACCATCCGCTTTATTTGTGTTAAAGTTAGACCAAAATACAAAAAATGTGGTTTACAAAGGAGCACTTCAGTGAAACGGATAATTTGCGGACACGTAGGTATAAAGCTTCGATTCGATACTTTGGATTCACTTTCATTTACTTAGAGAAGTTCAACTAAATAACACTTCATTTTTGTAATCGAAATGAATTCATTAATGTTGTAAAATGAAATAAAAATTTTCCTTTTCAAATATAAAACAAAAAAATCTTCATCTTTTAATCACCGAACGAAATGTTATATAAAAGCCTTCTGCTGGCAAAACGGAGTTCGCCGGGATTACTAGTAAGTTATAAAAGACAAAAGTTACTTCATCTGTGACGTTTTGTAGGCTGAAACTTTTTAAGAAATAATTGAGCAACTTTAATTTTAAAAGAAACTTATTATTTTACACATGTAAACTTAGTAAAAAACGAAGTATTTCTTATTAGTTTTCATATACACAAACTTTTTTCAAGATTTATGTATAACGTGTTTATGTATAATAATATTTTACGTTTATCATTAAATTATTCTTCAAAATATTTTTAACTGACATCCGTTTAGATACTGATATAAACAACAGTTCATATCAGTTTTGTTGATCTATAGAAATTAATAATTATAATCCCTAATTCTTTACCGTTTCCTGTATGTGCACTGGAATACTCATTTCGATTGATAATATACACTATATTGAGTTTCCTCAAACATTAAATAAAAAAGAGTAGACATACAAAAAGTATTAAACAGTCTTTGTAATAAAGAGGCTCTTTTTCCTTTCGTATTATTGTCATAAGAAAACGAAGTGCTCCTTGTTATAAATATTTAAAAATCCGCTCGCCCGAGGTTACGCGACATTAAACATGTATAATAGGCATGTGAATACATAAAGTACATATGTCCATGTATCATGATACCGTATGTTATTACGAGATATACAACGAATTATTTATGACAAAATGTTTAAATTTGTAGTAAGAGAATAATAATTAACACAATAACTATCATAATCACCTATTTTCACTCCCTTTATAACATATCCATAGTGTAAAATTGCATATTACACTCTCTACATCATTTGGATAAATTGTGATGTTATAGACAGAATTAAATTCTAAAGTTTATGACAAAATATAATAAAGAGACAGGAAACTTCCACAGAAATAGAAAAAAAAACAAGATTTGAAAGACTTGATTTCTATCTAGTGATATATGTGAAAATCCAAATAGCCCCATACAAATAATTAATAATTTTATGAAATCTGTCAGTAACACTGGTAAATACATGAGCTATAAAATAAATAAATTGGTCAAAAAAAATTAATATTGGTAAATACACGTATTGTTTTTTCTAGATCTAAGTTATGAAAAAGAATTTCAAATAACAATCTACAAATCAATAGATAAAACAAAAGGTATTGATGGAATAAAAAATTGGGTGTAAAAATTATAGCTGGCCTTATTAACATACTTTTTTTATGAATACGGATATTTGGCCAAATGAACTAAAAGCTGACGAAATATTTTGTAAACATTCGTATTTAAAAAATCGTAATGAATATTATTAAAAGTTTGTAAGTAAAAATTAAACAATGTATGTTTGCTTGCAATGTAAGTTGCTGTATGGGTACTGGGTAGTGTAAGCAGTGCTTATTTGCATCTATTTTGTGTACGCCACTGCTGTTGATATCCTCCAACATTTAGTAAATACTTGAGTGCTTGTTACTTTACTGATAAAATATTTTAAATATATAATAGAATTATTTTTAAATAATTAGTTTTAAAGTTATTTGACGAGCACTAATTATGAATTTTAAAATTTATTTAAAATCTCATATTACTGAAAGTATTTAATTGTATATATAAAAACCTCATTTTGATGCCAGGTAGGTACATATATAATTACATATATATATTTATTGAGCTAGAATAGTTATGATTTCGTTCCTATCAATTTAAACAGATTTATGCATACTACAAAGCAATATAAAATTATAGTATTACATAATATTACACATTAACCTTTAGCTTTAACTTTATTGGAACGTGTTCAATTATAGAATAGAATAGAATATACTTTATTGTACACCACAAACAGTAAATTTTACACGGAAAAAAAATATTATAAATTGGAATGTACAATTGGAATGTACAATTATGTGAAAGCTATCAGCCTACAGTCTACAGAGAATCGTTTAACGGAAATACATTAGTGGATGTGACTTTATCTCGTACAAACCTCTTACGGTAATGACGTACTAGTTACTTTACATGCTTTATTAGTTCGAGAATAAAGTTCTCTCGAATCATGAGATAAATTGAGTTTCATCATCTGTTAAAATCTGTAAATCCGTTTATTTTGTTACATTAACAAGATACAAGTTACATAAGATAGAACTTTTGATGACATTTATTATACATAACAAGTAATCTAAAGCAGAACTGAATTGTATGAGACTATTAAAGATATAAGTAGTTCGGATGGTTGGTAACATTGTCATCACAGTGAAACTCTGTGATATAGTTAACGGTTAATAATTTAAAACAAATAATTTATAGTAGCAACAGTTCTGAAGCATTATGATCAAATATTGTTAACAAGCCTAGAGAAGTTATCATTATTATTTTTATATAATCGTATATCAAAATTAATATGAAGTTGGAGTAGAAATGACAAACTGATTAATTATTTAATAAATCTCACAATTTAATCTCAAACTCCCTTCTTCCTAAATTGAGTTGCATTTTTAATGTGGCCGATAAATCCTTTATGCATTTTTTAACATAATTACACCAACAAATAATATGTATAAATTTATTTTAAAGTAAAAAAAAGTGGGTTTTAATATTATTAATTTTTAAATATTCCTTTAAATTGATTCATTTTAATATTAAATATTAAGAAATACAAATCGCTTATTAGTTGTATTGTAAAAACTTACACATCAGAAAAGGAAAATACATACTATGTAGCTGCCAGCTTGGTTTGAAAGATATTGTAACTTCGCTTTTTCAGTACTTTCTGTGCTTGGCACTTTGAGATTAAATGAAAAGAAAAAGCAAAAAAGTATTACACATACGTATTATTCTAAAAACAACAATTAATTATTAAAAATATATATAATTAAATTAATACCCGATTGACCTCTAAATTTAAAAATCTTGTTATAATGCAATACATAGTTTTGTTACCTGTGTAATAAATTTTATGAATACTGGCAAAACACAAAGAAGTCCTCTATTGAGCACGTTAGATAGAGTGCATTTCTGTTTGAGTCAACTTAAGTCGTGACTAGAAAGAAAACGAAACAAATTGTTCGTGAAAGTTCGTGTATATTTCTGTCATTTCGTTTAAAGAAAAGAAAACAATAGATAAGGTCTATCTTTTGTATATATTTAATCTCGTAACCCTTGTGTTGCTATACGTAGACGTAATTAAGTAAGTATAAACATTAAAGCTTTTTAAGGAAGAAATTAAATTGACCTAAAAAAGCTATAGAAACGTTAATTAACTTTATATTATAATAAGCGTACCCTGATGTCAAGCCCTCAAAGTAGCTTATGAAACATATCAGTTGTATTACACTTGTTTTGCCGACCCTTCTAACACCTGTTCACTCTTCTCTTGAAGAATCCCATATTGTAGTCCCTTACAAAACGTTAGCAGGGAGTTTCATCATAGAGCGAGTGTTTGAGTATGTTTTTGTTAGATCGAATAATTGTTATTACATAATTTACGATTCTTTCAAATGGCGCCTACTAATTATATAACTAGTAAATATAAATTAAACATGGTAGAAATTGTATGTTCGAAATTCAACTATAGTAATATGTGTGATTTTGGACACTAAGGGCGATTTCAGACGAGCGTTTTTTTCAGCGCGTATACGGTCGTTTCAGTATACGCGCTTACACGCGCGCTACATTACGCGCTTCAAAAAACCGGACGCGCGTAAACGCGCATATTTCGGCGTGTTCGCTCGAACCGGTGGTATCGTGTCAGTATCAACATGGATTCTGACGAAGAAACATTACTTTTTACGTTACTTATTCGGCTCGCGCTTATACGAGCTTAGAAGCGCGTCAACGCTCGTACGAGTTGAGCGTGTGCCAAAAGGCGCGCCTATACGCGCCTACATGCGCTTCCAAAAACCAGCTCATACGCGCGTATAAAACGCTAGTCTGAAACCGCCCTTAAACAATTTTAAAAGTAGTTTTTTAAGCAATTATAATTAATTATTGTAGAAAGTAGGACGCATCGCTCTTAACTCGTTAAATTCGAGCCACTTGCCTAGAGATGTACCTCCAACTCAAAATAGACGACAGCCAAAAGGAGATTCTTTCACGTTATATGATGTTTCTGTGCTAATTAGGTGTGCTGACAACCTGGTGACCAGTATAATATATACTATTATACTATACTATACCAGTATGTTATATATGTATAATATTTATTTATATAATACATTACAAATTTCTTTTACGGTGTCACAAAATCCCTGTCGGGTTTATCCGTACACCGGCATTCATTGAGTACACTCGAAACTTTTAGTACATAAATATATTACCTATTACAATATAGACTACATAAGATTTTGAGTAACTGATGTTTGTTTAATTATAACTCATATGTGAGGGTATACGTTAAAAGATTTTTAAATTATGTTAGTAATACAATAGGTATGTACTTACGATGCACTACTCGGCCGGTCGATCATTAAAGCCGGTTTTGCGATAATGCATTTCAAAGAAATAACTTGTAGATAGTGCAAATACAGGTGATCTGTTTCCCTTTATGAGATACTAGCTTTCCGCCCGCAGCTTCGCCGCGTGGAGTTCGGTTATATCGCGTTTCCAAGAGAACCTTTCAAAAGTCTGGGATAAAAACTATCCTATGTTCTTTCTCAAGCTCAACTCTATCTCTGTACCGAATTTCATTAAAATCAGTTCAGTGGTTTAGGCGTGAAAGCGTAGCAGACAGACAGACAGACAGACAGACAGACAGACAGACAGAGTTACTTTCGCATTTATAATATTAGTAGGGATTATTTAATTAGTTATATTAAGTATTATTATTAATATTTAAAAAATATTCTTTATTATTACTCATACTTATTTCATGTTTAAATTCATTAGTAAGATTGTTCAAAAATATTGGAATATTTTCAATATTTCCGTAAGAATAAAATTTACAGTGAAATATTAAAAATTAATATCATTATCATTACATTTGGAATAATTTACAAAGAGCTTGTTTAAAAATTCAGTTACCTGTAAACGTAGGCAGGTTATTTTTATATTTGGCAAAAATCGAAGTCTTTTCAAAAGGAATTATGAATTTATATTGTTGAAAGGGCTGCTGGCTTTGTTTTGGAATACCCTTCTGTTTGTGATTTTTTAAATTCAGATACAAGACGCCGTTTAAATAGTTTTCTTTTGAAGTATTTATATAATATGCACTATTCCGAGCGTGTAGGTGGATTGAACTAAAAATTAATAAAATAGAAGTAAGGACTAACATTTAACAGCTTTTTTCTACTTGGTGGGATTTTGGGTACTCTACGTAGTTTAAACTTAAATATTTGATTGGTTTTATCTGCACTGCCTTAAAAATACGAAACCGACTTCTTTATAATTTATAGAAACGTTGAAACTAATTATATATTATTAAGTATAAGGTTTCACAACGTCTCTTTCTAAATATTAGATATAAAAGAAAATTATATAAAACTGATCTTGGATCATCAGACCGTATCCATGGATGTTGATTAATTATTATTATAATTGAAATATCTGTAGACTGAATAATATAACATTTGTCTGGCTCTGGTCGGTATAGTAAAGGAATACAACATACAGACTTTTTATATCCTATGGAAAAGTACAAGATTTTTTACCATCAACCTATTATTAATCAGTTTTGTCTTGAATTTTAATGCTTCATATATTTGTATTTGTCAGCATTCAACGGCAATTCTATATACTGAGTATGAGAATATTATATGGGCTACTTCCAGATCTCAGCACTTCAACATTTAATATTAATTAGTTTTCTATAAACTTAATACAAATTACAATGAATCTGCTCTCTGTTGATATCACATTGTATTTCAATTTGAATTAACTTCAGTATATAAATTACACGTATCATCAAATAAACAAACATTATTCCTTTGTATTATCGGCTTTAAGTCCCAAGCGTTTGTAACTAAAAATAAAATTTTTAGTATTAACAAATGGCTTATTTAAATATTTGTATTGGTGGAATAATTTTAGAAACTTCGAATGGCATTAATAACGTAGGCTTTTTGTTTTGATAGATCAGTGTTTATTAAAACATATTATATCAGTTAAAAAAGTGTTTTAAGTTGTTTATATATTGTTTTATCTTGTCAAGTAGGGGTTTAAATACTTCTCATTTGAGGGTAATATTTTGTTAAAAATTTTGTATAAAAGCTTGTACAAAATTTAATTTATACAAATTATTATCATTGGTGGTAATTATAAATGGTAATTTTACCAAAAATACTGCTGCATGAATTGTGACTGAATTAATCTGCCCCTTTCATTGCTAGTACCCTCTAGTTCATAACTACTTTATAAGAAAATATCTTTTTGGGAATAAAATTATATAAGTATTAGTCTCGAGAATCGAAACATTTGTTGAACGCACCCTCTTTGGTTCTGGTACTTCAACTTGGTCCCTTCAAAGCCATATTTTAAGAGTACGTCCCACAGGACCATGCAACACCCCAGTGAGGCTTTCAAATGCTTACATTCAAACTGAAAAGATGTACAACAAACTCTTGTTAATATTAGTTATGAATTCTTAATAATATTTCTTAATAATCTACTTTAATTATTTAAACAAAGTAAATTATTTTATGACATTGTTTCAATATAGAATCTATTACAATAAATCGTTATACAGAAAAAAGGAAAAAAAGGAATAAAACTCTACTCGTATGTTTCTTCTATAATATCAGATATCCTGACGACAGAATCATTGTTATAATTTATGTTTAACTTCATTGAATAATAAACTGAAAAATCAAAATTATAGAAATAAACTAAATATTATTATTGAGTTTTGAGGTTATTATTTATACTCAAATATACAAATATTAATGGCCCAATGCCATATGACAAAGTAAATATTTACTTAATTTAAATTTCGTCCAATCTTTAATTTGTATTCTACAAATAAAAACCTTACAAATAACAGTTTTTAGTATAATTTGTAATATGTACATAGATATGAACCACTCCCTCCATACTTTATCTGAATTCATTATTCCTCTATTAAAATGTAATTAAAAAACCAAGTCTAATTTAATTACCTTTTATTACTTAGTATTACCCTATTGTATTGAATCGTATTAATGTTCAACTATTTAATGACTGATGAAAATATAGTTTCAATTGTGAAAAAATTCGTTCCAACATTTGGAAAGTGAGATTCTCGATAAAACTAAGTATTTTTATTTACCTTATTCAATTGTTATTACGATTGTTACTGTTTTTATGAGCTTTTATTTTACTTGTTACGTATAAATCATATTTGTTTGAATCTTCATCGTTACTTATCCAAGTCAGAAAAATAATTATACTAAATGCACTTCTACAATGATATTTTTTACAATGTATTGAATAATAAAAATTTGTTATCATATTATGGTAAAATTAAATTATCATAATATAGTACATAACATTCCAAGTAATTAATTTTATTGGTTTATATAAAATATTGTATTTGAATTAGTACATACTTGTTTAAAAGAAACAATAATAAAAATACATTAATAACATAACCACTAACTAAAAATTTTAAAATAAAAGGTAACGAACGAACTGTACCCTACTTTAGAAGAGTTAACCCCTAGACCACTAACCTTCCAGAGTACCCTATTAAAACTAACCATTCGTCGTTTTGAGGCACATGATTTTAACGTGGTATTTTTAGATGAATTATGCTGTTTTTTACCTAAATTCTTCTGAACAATTAAATAACATAGGTTACATTTACAAATAAAACTACAAAAAATAAAGTAATGAGAAATATTTATTCAAACTTAACAGTTTTAGTAAGGCACTTGATTTTCATGAGATCAAAAAACGTTACTCTTTGGAAAATTAACAAAAATATTTAAACAAAAAAAATCATATTCTTCTCTTAAGTACTTATAGAACGAGATCTTAGTAATATAAAAAAATATATAAAAGCTATTTTTTGTCTGCGCAACTAGTGCAGAAATCAATCTTATGTTCACCGCAGATTGCGATGCTGCACTGTGAGCAAATGGACTTTGTCATACGCCGTTTCTTATAGGAACATATACCGCAAATTTTCCTTTTTCTTATATTTTGACCTGTCGATACAGACTCATTTCTCGACGTTGACTGCACTTCGTCACGATCACCACCTTCAACATCCGTACGAATCCCTAATACATTTTGTATTTTCGTTTTTGTATGCGTGGGCATTGTGGGCATTTTCAGTCACGTTTCGAGCCACTGTTTTACGAGTTGGGAATGCAATTCTTTCATATAATTACGACGGCTCATTATCTTTTGTCCCAGAGTTGATACATTATGGCAGTAAATTATGTAGCTATTGATGCAAGCGATATTTAGCATGTCGTAGAAGATGCACATGGGCCACGGATTAGTTTTTCTGTTGCAAGTCATCACCGAACACATCTGGTCAAAAGTGTCCACACCACCTTTTGTGCTGTTGTAAAATTCAATCAAATTTGGCTTATGTGTCTCGGGATTCACTGTACCTTCTTCATCGCAGGAAGATAGCACGTAGACCATTTTTGACGGCTTCGGCTTGTACGAAAGAAGCGTAAGCGGACCATCATAGCAAAACATGGAGGTATTTACATTCCTTGAGCGACTATTTTTTACCTCTTCAGGAATTTCTCTTTTATTGGATCGTAATGTACCCACAATTGTCAGTCTATAAGGCTCCAGAAGTAATTGTTTCGCCAAGGGTATCGACGTAAACCAATTATCCATGGTTACGTTTCTGTTCGTACCATGGATGCTTCGTGTCAGTTCCTTTACAAAGTATTCTCCCAAAGGCAAGCCTCCAGTATCAGTGCCTTTTCCAAGATATGGAGCACAGTCGATCATATATTTAGTGCCGCTATCACAAAGCATTTCTAATTTGAGGCCATACTTTGCAGGCTTGTTCGGAATATACATTCTGAATTTACATCTCCCACGAAATGCCAACAGTTGCTCATCAATTGTCACGTTGCTTTCAGCCTCATAGTTATCTCGAGACTTAGTTATGAGCATTTCCCATATCTCTCTTATCGGTGTAAAAGGGTCATCTTTCTGTCGTTGTAATCGAAATGTTTTGTCGTCGAATCGAAGACATCGCAAAAGGAAAGCAAATCGTTCTTTACTCATACATGAGACGTATCTTGTACCAGAATACTCAAGGTTGAAGAGTTCTTCGAGGGATAAATGGTTGTCTTTGAGAGCTGCAGTCAAAACTAGAATGCCGATAAGGGCTTTGATTTCTTCGTTACACGTATTATTCTGCGTGGAAGATAATTGGTCATAGTTTTCTTTTTTGACACCAATTTCTTCATTCGTCCACTTCACTATGACGTCCACTATCTCATCTGTAAAGAACTGGCTGAACAACACCAGTGGATCCACAATTCCCCTAACAGCTCGAGTTGGTCCTCTAGCAACCCGAATAATATTAATAGGCGCCGCTCTGCCTGTAGAACGTCCTTTGCTGGTGGCCCAAACATGACGGTTTTTACCACGGATATTACTTTGTGTCAATGTCAATATGTTAGTATTTGAACTTGAATTTTCTTGACCCAAATCAAGTGGTGTTTGTGACATCGATGTAGACGGCTCAGGAATATTTAGTGAGCTATCTTCGCGATCTGATGACTCGTCTTGAGCATCACTTTCCACATAATCATCTTCTAAATTATCTTCATTTTCACTGCATGAATCCTCCGGTATGCTCGTATCATCCTCTTCTAACAGTAAACGAGTAATATTTTCTTCCGATAGTGGTTGTTTTGAAGCCATCATAAAGAAAACTGCGAAATAAAATATTCAATTTAAATTTGAAAAGTGACACAAACACTAACCATTCGTCGAAACGACGACTTAATATTGAATATTTCAAAAACTTTAAAACTTACCTGCCGCACACAACCGCTTTCTGAAAGAGCACGAGAGGCACTGAGTTGACAAGTCGCGACACGATCACTTCGTCGATTTGACGAAGGTTAGTTGTCCAGGGTTAAATGAAAGGCAACCTCTAGATAATATGCACTTTTTTTTTGCATATGAAATCGAATCTTAGAGTAGCAGAAAAAAAGGGAATAGCTCCTATTCAAAATAAACTAAACTCATATCCTAATTTAATCCTATTTTATATTTCTAACTTACTTTTCAATTCAAAACTGTAAATGAAAACATCTTTCATGACTTCTATTTAATACATTGTATAAAAATGCAAATATCAACAAATTTTAATATTTACTTCGTTGTAACAACTGAAAATTTGTATTCGAGTTACTTTTAAATTTTCAGTATAGTTTTGAGGATATAAAATGTTAATCTTTATGGCAATAACAACATTGTAGTAAAATATTTATAACTTTCTTATTCATAACGGGTGCCCTCGATTTTTAAAAGCTGAGTTAACCGAAGACTTACAATATGTACTGTAATATATTTAAGCCAAACTAAAACATTTAAGTTATTTTATGACTTCTATTCTTCGTTCATGACGTTTTTGTAATAAATATAATTTATGACTCATCTCTTTAAAATTTCATAACTAAATAAAATAACATGTTTTGTGTACTACTTTATATGTACAATTTAATACATATTGTAAGTGTTTGTGTTTCATAGATTTAGTCTACTTTATTTTTATATGCAAGTTTCGCTCAAAATAAATAGAATAAGAATGGAATGTTTTCAATTTAAGAACTGATTTGATATTAAATGATTTAAAGTTTCAGAGTCAACTTCTATTTTAATTTATATTTACTTGGATCTGTATAAATAACTTAATCTATATGTACTTATAAAAAATATAATTTAATACATGAACTTAATTAAAAGTAAAGCTATGATACGATCTGTAAATATTATGTATTTTTATATCCTCGCGTCCTTTTGACATCTCTTAAGCTAAAACAATATCACGGAATGTTTCATAAAACTCGTATTTTCCTCGTATTTTATATTCAACTCGCTATTCCTGTGAGTCGAATGACGTTGTTGCAATTCCTCTTGAAATAACATTTTGCATACATTTAATATAAAAATAAAGATTGTAAAATGGATAAAGCACAGAAATGTGCAATATAATAAAAAATATTTCACAAAACTCTTTGCAATCAGCTCCAAACAAAACTTGAGTGTTTCTTTATCCTGCATGGAGATTCGTTAACTATGTCATGTCTCAATAAGTTTTTTTCAAAAAACCTTTATATTAATGTAGTGTTCAGTATAAATTTTATAATTATCATAGTGACAGTTACTCTAACCATCTTTAAGGCGGATATTATAGTTGTGTGCCGTTCATAGTACTTAAAATAAAGTAGTTCAGGCATGTTCTGCCTTTCGTGCTCATCTATATTAATTTTATGTATAAGAATTTTGATGAATTGACTTTTTATATTTCTAAAATTTTAATTAAATTTATAATTCATTTATAAGAAGGAGATAATTATATGTTTTTTTTGAAATAATTTCGTCACATGTAAAAAGTGAAAATAATATATTTTACAAAATAAATATATTTTCCATTTATACGTCTATATCAAACCGGAATTCACAAGAAACATGTTATTTTTCGAGTATGAAGTTATTCAGAAAGAACAGAAAAGTGTAATTGGATTGTTTGAACACTTGTTCGGATACTTCCCATTTCAATATACTAATCCAGCTTGCATTTTATTTAGTCTATTTTACTCCTTTAGAAAGAGGCGGCGGACGGCGGCGGACGGAAGAGGTGGCGGCGGAAGATCACTGCAGAAGCCAAAAACATCGGGAAGACTTGGAGCGACATGAACGGCGAAGCTCAAGACCGAACGGGATGGCGGCGTACTGTGGACGCCCTCTGCCCCATCTGGGGGATATAGGATTAGAAAGAGGACTCCTCTAGAAAAACTTCATTATGGCACTCCATTTATTACTGTGTAAAAGCATACATGTGTTAAGCTTGTTCGTATTGTTAAAGTTGTAGTTTCATATTGAATAAATATTGTTACAAGCTAATTCTATTTCACTTCATAATCTTTTTATTATAAGCGTAATATTACCGTTATCTACAAAAGAACCTTCTGTCCTTCGATTATTTTTTGATGTTTTAATGAAACTCCAAGACTGTGCGTCTGTTTCAGTATTTTTATTGTAAGAGGTCAACATCTATTGAATTGAAAAGTTACAATAATTTCATAATTTTAGATCATACCATAGGCCTAGATAATTTATAAAATGTGTTATTGGCTGTATAAATCGGTTTAATTTGGAAGTAATTAATCAAGAATTGTCAAATTAATTTACTCTAACACTTAACTCTATAAAAGAAAACTTTACATGAGGCTTATTACGTTAATGAATGATCATAATTATACTTTATATCTGGTAGAAATTTTCATGTAGTAAATTCACATATTCTAATTAGTATACTTTAAATAATAATATGTAGATTGTATCTTAACAGGCTCTACATAATTATGATAAGCCAAATAAAACAGTGTAACATTTTATTATTTAAAAAACATTTAGTTAGTTTATATCTATTGTCTTCATATGTATAATGACAGAGACAACAAAGTGATACCTTAATAGTGTCCTTTGAAACACAGAAGCCTTAAAACCGACCCAATAAAGTCTAATTGAACTGCAAGCACCGTACATTTTTTTTGTTAGAACGCTAACTTCAAAATGTTATTTTTTATTTCAATTAATCATTCGTCAGGATATAAAAGCTGTTTTATAAACAAATATTTTTAAAATAAAACAATCATCATCCTCATTATAATCATCAGCCTATCGGAACCCACTACTGAGCAAGAACTCTTCGCAGATGGAGAAGGTTAGTGCATTAATCACTACGCTTACACAAGACAGATTCGCAATTTCAAACTTATAACTTGAAATTATAAGTCCACGTTTCTTCGTTTCTTCACCATTGACAGGTGGTGAAGGAAAGAACATATTACTCGTTGTAATCACATTGGTACTTGCCCAACTTTGCACTAGCACCCTCATGCATGAGAGTTAAACCTTTGACCCCTAGGCCATCAAGACTTATTAAAAATACAATTTTGAAGATATAGTTTTTATTTAATTTAAAGAAAATAGTATTTTTCATATCTTTATGATTTGTATTAAGACAAATGTCAATCCATACCTTTATGTATAATACATATATGTATATTGATTTGATATTCTATAACTTTAAATAGAATAAGAACTTAAACAGTAACCAAATAACAAATGACAATAAGTTAATCTTCTTATAAAATTTTAAGTAACAAAGATTCGGTGATCAACCTATTAATAACTAAAGTTCATGTTATAATTGGTAAGAATTATATGTAATTACTTGCATTATTCATCTCGATTCAATATAGAAGATAAAATAGTGAGAGTAATAACTAGTATATATGAAAAATTTAGACTGCGAGTACATAGTGGTTCAAGAGTGTTCCAGGAGGAAATTCGTCAAATTACAAAAGCAAACTATGGATCAAATAAAATATTGCTCCTGTGTAAACGTGATTTGTTGCGAAATAATACGAGTAACACGGCTTCTGAAAATAGTACTAGTATCTAACAACAGCATTGCTGTCGTCTCATTAAAAAAAATAAGTTAGAGATAGTACTTGACACGTTAATTTTTGATAACCAAATATGTCGGATTTGTTACTTTTCAAGTAATTAAAAAACACCTTCAACAAAAAAGAAAAATCCTCTATCGAATTATTTCTAATGTTTATTGTAAAAATACAATTTCTTTTGAAACTTTTATTTGACGCAAGGACTCTTCCTGCACAATTTCATTGCTTCCACAAAGACTTTGGGACGTCTGAGTTTTATTACTTTTCTTTGTTCGTTACTGTTCCTTTATTTTGAATATTTTAAATCAAGTAAAATGTTCAAGAGAGCATGCAACAACTTTATTTGGCTCACAGTGATAGCATGTTCAATATTATAAATTACTAACACATCCCGAGTCTTGTGAATGTAGAATTTCTTAATATTGTTTAAGCTTTTGTGCGATCAAGATAACACATGAGTTACATAAATTCAAACATTGCATAATATGTACAATTTCAAAGCATTTTATTTCATGTTTAAATGTTATAATATTTCTTAAAATATCACAGTTTGACATGTAAATATAAATTTTAATTTTAATTTATATGAAAATAGCATATACATATAGAATTAAAAATATTGGTTATATATAATTTTTAACTTATACTCTTGGAAACCTTTTTTATTTAATGAATATTTGGAATTTGGTGATAAAAATGCCGGATAGGACGATATTAATTAAAAAAAATCTCCACCAACAGCTACAAGGAAACCATTATAATATTTCACGTTTGTAACTATACATATGTCTTTTTTTCTAATGTTCAATATTATTAAAAACAAAAATGGTTGTGTTTTTTAACAGTTTTTCCAACATATACTCATTTTATAACACAGACCGTGTTCCATAATGAGGTCTAAGACTTTCGCGTGTTCCATAACTATAATTTGTAGAATAAAAAAAAACCGACGTAAGATAATTTAACTGAATTGGTATATAACCACTGAAAGAAGAATTAATCACTTGTTCATTATTACTACTTCCATTCTTTTTTATAATAATGAAGTTATAATAATTTTCTTTCTATATCTACATGTAGCCGTTTTTTCATACTTTCCATCTGGTGTAAGGCGTTCTCTATTAAATTTATCTACGCTGTAACTAGTTTCAACTTCAGCTGTAACTAGTTTCAACTTCAGCGATTATCTAATCATTTGGAAACATGACCGGCCCATTT